AACCTAATATTTATTTATTTCATTTGCAGATATTCATGACAACTCAAACTCCTCTCAAATGCAATCTAATCAATCCGAATTACTTCAGCAGCCTGCAAAATTAGCTGGTGCTGGCGCTATAACAGCAGCTGCCGCACAAATTTCGACATCATCAACAGCATTATCGACAGGAATGAGTGTAGGTGCTACAGGAGCAACCTCAGGTCAATGATGAAGAAATGGGTATGGATGATTTAGATCATAATGCTGGTACAAGTCAAGGAGGAGAAGGATCTAGTCAAGGTAAATAATTGCATTTTATGTAGTAAAATTTTTAAGTCACTATAAAAAATTACCCAAACATTCTACAAAAAGTCTTAAAATTAAATATAAAATTTGTTGTAGTTGTAATTTATTGTTTTAACTTTTTTATTTAAAACAAGTTTCTTTCGTTATATTTTATATTACAACAAAATTAAATTTATTGTTTTAATGACGAGCTTAATTTGTTAATTGTTTAAATAATGCACAATTTTTAAATTATAAAAAAAATATATTTTGTTTTCACTAATTTTTGACTGTAGTCTAATCAGTACAGTACCTTGATTATATTATAATCTATCAGTATCCTGAAGAAAGACCATAGAATGTAATCGAAATATTAGTGAACATAAAATATAATTTTAACAAATAATTTAATAAGTTAGTTATATACTTGAACAATTAATCAATGATTTTTCAAAAATCTAAATAAATGAAATGTAATTTAAATTATTTAAGCCTTGCGTATAATATAAAATGCCACAAGTAAATTGTAGTTTAATGACTTGAAATTTTATTGTAATACATATTTCTAAGGATATATGTTCATTTCAAAATTTTTAAACACGCGTTTCTTCTTTTAGGCTACGCACCCTGGCAACATGATAGATCTCAGGATGAATTGTTACTGACAACACAAGATGCACAGCAACGGGACCCACAAGGTAAGTTCTAAGTACGAAACATTCAAAGAAGAAGAACAAAGGCTCCGAGCACGACAAATAAAATATATAGTTAGTTATAGATATCAGGACTTTTTTTTAATAAGATCTGTAATTTTGAACAACGTTAGAATTAATATACTTGAAGATTAACATAGTTAAGTTAGCCAGAAACTTATATAAAAAATTTACTAAAGAAGTAAATATTTTTCATGTAACGCATTATAAAAATTTAATAGTTTAAAAAATCGCCTTAATATTTACAATATATTGCTAAATAGAATATCTGAAAGAATTTTATATGTCGTGCTCAAAAAGCTTTACATAATTAGTATCTTATGTTATTAAAGAAGAGAATTTATTTAAACTACAAGAAAAAAAACAAGCAAACATATATTTAAACAAGAAAAGACAAGCTGTGCTTTTATTTATAAAATCTAAAATTATTTTCCAAATTAGTTGTTTTTGTGTTAATATTATTATGTAGATTTTTGTAAAATATTTTTTGTTGTGTTTAAAATAAAAAAACTTACTTGTCTTTTCTTCTTTGAAAAACTCTACTATATAAATTAAAGCGAATCTAATTTTTGTGCTGATTTGGTTTTTCTTAACACTGCTTCCTACTAGACAATAAATAAATAAATAAATTAGATATATTAAATTGTTCATCACATACACACACATATATATTACACATGCTATTCACATTATTGAATTTTTGTATTTTACTGCTGATTCTCATCATAATATCTAAAATCATAAATTTCGTTTGTATATATATATTTACTTGCCAATATTTTTTTACTTTTCATTTACACAAAAAAAAGAAACTAAAAATTAAAAATTAAAAACAAACAAAAAAAAATCGGTCTACGATATTAGAGACATTAATTCATATTAAAAATAATTAAATTCTAAATATTGTGAAAATTATAGTTTATTATATATAGTTAGGCATTTTTCATATATTTTTTTATAAATCTGTTGTTATTAAACAAAATAGGGTTTTTTTTTCACAATTAAATTGTTAAAGCAACAGAACAGTATTGTTCCCATTCTTGTTGCTCCATAGATTTATTAGAGAGTCTCAAGACATTTTCTATGTGTAAAATTTTTAAAGCTTAAAGTGTTGTGTGTTAAAATTGTTCCATAAAATATTATTAAAAAAATATGTATAATACGCCTAAAATATATTATTACATTAGTCAAAAAGTTTTTGTTTTAGATAGTAATATGTAATAATACTCATTTAGAGAAAAACAACAAGCACACACACCACCACCTTTAATTTGTTAGTAAAAGCGTGAATAATGCAGTAAATCAAATCGTTAATTAATTTCTGTAGGCATATTTTTGTTTGTTGTATATATTGTATTTTTTTTATGTACATTATAAAACTATGATTTTGAAATAATTATGTACTTTTTTTTTCTTATATATTGTACATTTAGTACATTTTGATTTTAGCATATAATTTTGTAAAATTTGTTTGTTAAAAAATACGCATGCATTATATTTTTCAGCAATTTTTAATTTTATAAGATTTGTTTTAGTATAATTTTAAAAATTTTCATTTATTTTAAATACTATTTGGCTTTTATTTGGTTGACGGGACTAAGAAGTTATTTTATACATTCAAAAATTTGTAAACAAGTTTTTATTTCTATGATTATACACCGGTTAGGTGTTATTACAGTAGCTTTTTGTGCTAAACATTGAGCTCTGCTGTCAATTTATAAGAAATCGTTTGCGTTTCGGTTTAGATTTTTTTTATATTAATTATATATTCGATGATAATAATACGGATTTCCGGTTCTCCGGTTTTTCGGTTAAAAGTAATACAATTTTTAAACTACATTAATTTATTTTTTATTTCTTGTTCATTTGTTTTGTTATACAATTTGTAAGAATTAATTTACATTTGTTTAATACTTGTTTACGTAATATTTTTGTTTACCTTCTTAATCCAACGTACCCGGTTTTTTTTATTTTAATTTAATTATAGCAAGGTTTTGTAAATATGTTTGCACTTTTTTTAAAAATATTTCTTTTTTTTAAAAACTTTGTACCACTTTGTGTACCGGAATATTTGTCTTTTAATTTATTTTATGTTTTGAAATACAACTTGTACATGAAGTACTTTAATGTAGTTATTGTATATTTTTATTTATACATATTTTTATGTTCCAACACAAATTCACAATTTGATTGTTAATTTTAATTTACTTTTAAGATTTTTAATTTTTATGTCACTTTTCTCCCTTTTTTTGGGATACTTGATAATTAAAATTCGCTGCAAACACCTTTGTTATCGGGTGTTATGTATTGCAGGAATTTTTATTAATTTTTACACTCACGTCGCGTACTTTTTTGTTTCCGACATTAGCGTGAGTTTACTGTAGATTTTTTAGCACTCGCGTCGCATACTTTTTATTTCTGCATTTGTTACGAGTTTACTGTGGATTTTTTGAGCAAAATTTTCACACATAAAAAAATTTTGTGCACTCCCGAAATCTCGTTTTATATTATTTGAGATTTTTTTTATTATCGCCAGCCAATTTTGGTGCGTGAACTTGAAAAAAAAGTTCTCTGGAAAGCATGTTGTAGTGATAGGAGAACGCAAGATTTTGCCAAAACCAACCCGCAAACGACCATTGCGAACCAACAAACGATCATTGAGCACAAAGTAAGTGTTATTTATTTCATTAAATCTTATTTTGCACTTGTGTTGTGTTAATTTATTGTTCAGTGGCAAAAATGTACTTCCTTTCTGTCGAAAATTTTGACCAAGGTTGGTCTAATTTTGCAATAGGGTGAAAAAAAAACCAATCTGATCGTTTAAACTCACTTTAAGAAATAAAAATTTTAACATATTGTAAGAAATAGAAAAATTGCTTTAATAATTTTGACTTTTTTTTTTTAATAATATTTTATTTATGATTACTACTTATGATTATTTTTTTGAATTGTATTAATCTTATTTAACGAAAAGACTTATTAAATAATAATTAATGATCGAAGTATACATTATTTTTAAAATTTAAAAATACATTTATATAGATTTTATGATTATGACCTGATATTGTAATTATTGAAGTTGTAAAACAACTACTTTATGCGTTCTACAAACTCGTACTATATATACTCATACTTTGTTCATATTTAAATTAAAAAATTAATTTATTAATTTTAATTTGTTTCCCGCTGCTAAGTTTACACTGCGCTTAAATAGAATTACTACATATTTTATGCTTAAGATGTTGCGGTTACTTTAAGAAGTCTTTTACTCTTTTGTCAGTGAGACTTAAATGCTCAATCTGGCCGGTACCGCGCTGCATATTGGTCTAACCAAAAACAGTGTGGGAAGTATTCAGTGTATCAAGAGCAAAAAGCCACTTAGTATGCGTCGTTTTTGGCATATCGAAAAGTGTGTCCAATTAATTAATTAAAATCTTCGCCTTAAAGTATTTGTAATTCAAATTTCTTAAAAAGGTTGTGTGTCTGTCTTGCTGTCTGTCCAAAGCGACATTTTCGGTGACAGCGTATAAAGCTACTGTATTTGAATTTTAATTAGTAACGAATTTGTTGTTTTAATGTTTCTCACTAATTAATTACACGCTACGGTCAACAGAGTCATTACCAATCACACAGTTTTTTACACATTCAGTTATCAATAAAATTAACATTTTTCTCAGTTACATACATAATGAATAGAAAAGAAATATTAATTTTTGTTTTGGTAGATGAAAGTATTGGTGGTTTTAAGACGTTTGCCACCTGAGTATTTATATTATTTGTTAGGTTAGATAGGGTAGATGAATCATCTGATGTATAATAAGAAATATTGTTATTGTTGATGAATAAGGTATTCTTATAATTATGCGATAATATACCTGAATAATTTTTTTCTAATATGCTTTGTTTGATGATAAATTTGTTTGTGGTGCATCTATGGTTCTTGTTTGTGTGTCGATTGTTGATTGGTTGAGTTTTTTACGTTTGTTTGTGTTGATTGAGGTATTGTCAATGGAAGCATTTAGGGGATGATATGATGCTGAGGTTGTGTCATGCAGTTGGAATATAGATGTGTCTGAATCTGGAAATATTGATTTTAATAAGGTGTATTATTATTTTTCTATTATTTAAACACATTTTTATTAATTATTTAGTTCATGCGATTGATAGAATATATTATAAAATAGTATGGATTAAATTAATTTTATGATGAGTATAGATATTGGTAGATGTATATGTATGATTTATATGTAATAGATCTTCGAATACATATTAACATTAGAATTTTTGTGGATATATATCCAACTAGATTAGGACTTATTTTGATATTTAATGTGAAGAATATTATAATGATATTATGTATAAATTAATTTTATAATATTGTAATGAGATTATTATTATTTAGTAATTTATGAAAGATATTTTATGATTTGTAATAGAATATTGATATTGATAATGTTGGGATTTGTGATACTTACCACATATGGTTATTATTTCATTTTCTGCATCCTGATGATGTGATGAGTTTAACATTGGCATTGGTGGAGGATTAGTGGTATGAATTGGATTTGTTGAATCATCCTTGTTTGTGATTGATGAAATTGCAAGATTGGTTTGTTTTGTTTCCATTTTTTAGTTTTGCTTGTATCTGGAAATGATTTATATTTTATTATGAATCTGATGAATTAAAAATTTGAGATTATAATATTTAGATATTTAGGTTTATGTTGCTTTTTTGTGGTTGATATACAAAACGTTAAAATACGTAATTTTGTTTGATTATAATTGCGATGTATTAGTTAAGTTCTTTTAGTTCAATTGTTATTTAATAGATGGTTGGTCAAGGTTCGATATTCAATTATAATATAAAATATATACATGTTATATTGTGTATAAGAATATCTGGTATATAAGAAATTTTAATCAATTTATTTTAATTAATTGAGTACTATCATTATTTAATTTTTAATATTTGAACTTCAATATTCTAATGT